TGAATCTTGCTCTTTCCCCCAGGCTGGAGTGCAGAGTGGGATCTCAGCTCACTGCAACCTCTGCCTTTGGGTTCAAGTGATTCTCCTGCCTCAGCCTCCTGAGTAGCTGGGACTACCGGTGCTTGCCACCACACCCAGCTAATTTTTGTATTTTTAGTAGACACGGAGTTTTGCCATGTTGGCCAGGCTGGTCTTGAACTCCTGACCTCAGGTGATCTGCTCACCTACCAAAGTGCTGGGATTACAGGTGTGAGCCACTGCGTCAGGCTGGATGTCAGCTTTCAGAACTATTTCATCCTCCCTGTCAGCACCTCCTGTGGATCATTTCTTAGCCACAGCTTGGCGGGGCTAATTCCCAAACTGTTTTAGCATGCTGTTGTTGAGGGAAAGCAGAAACTAAGAGATTAGCAGAGAACAACACAAATATACACATTTGCATACACGTGTGTATTTCTGGGTTTAAGAGCATACCTGTGTCCCACAGCCGGACAAGTGGTATAATCTCGACTGACTAATGACTAAAGTTTTTCACTCCTTGGGTTCCAGAAAAATATAGATTCACACCACCCATGCCGAAACATTCATTTGAAACACATTTTTAATATGAAAGTCTCTGAGAGCATGAAAAAAGAATAGGAAAAAAGGATGTTATACAGTGCTTAATCCAATCCTGTACCTTAATCCAGTACAGAACATGTTTATCTACAAAGTGTTAACAAGACATTTCTGGGTTGAATGGGGAAAGCTTTTGCTATGTGATGTAGACTGAATTCCTAGAGAGCCTCTTGTCTGCCTTTCCCTCCTGCTGTGCTTCCCCTTATCCTTGTGTGCCATCTTACCTTTCAGTCCATTTATTTGAAGGCTTCATTTGGAGCTTTTCTCAGATATCCTTAGGGCTCCTCTTGGCTCCTTGGAGTTGGTTTCTGCCCCTTAAGAGGTCTCTCCAAGTGATCAGGCAGCATCACACAGACTTGCCTTTTGCTTTTGCAACAGCAGTGGTTTTTATCTATAAGACTGTTCTACCACTTGAGACAATCTGCCCTGCAGCAAACAGATGTTTGCATTGAGATCACCCCTCTAGATGAATAAAATCGTTCCAGAGGCTAATGCTGGCTAGGAAGGTTTTTTTTTTTTTTTTTTCTTCTTCTTGTGCACCTATGAAGCGTAACTGAGCCCTAAGCAACCACCTTTGATGTATATTTTGTGATTGGAGAAGAAGAAAGAAATCAAATAGCATTTCTTTCTGCCAAACTGTTTTTTGTACATAAAAATTTTTGCTGACTGAAGACTTTATCCAATGTGAGCTTTGCTCTCTTCGATTAAAAACAGTTCAGTTGAGATTGCTTTTTCTTATATTGTCCTTGAATTTTGTTCTCTCTGATGTTGGCTGCACATGATACTTCATCAGCAAAATGGATCACATAACATCTTCTAAATCTCCATCTTGTTTTGTTTGCTGAGAAACAATTTTCAGCCAAGCATAAAGTACTTTTTTCAAAGAGTCTAACTTCAAAAGGTAGAAGTCTACAGTCAGGGTAAAAATTAAATGAGTACCCTTATTTTTAGAGGACATTAGCTTTGCCTCAGTAACTTGGATCTCCATTTTTCATAAGACCTTAGATCAATGTACCTTAAGGTAGCAACATCTGTCATAATTGGCTGATACTTTAGCGTCTTTCAATACCAAATATTAACTTTGACTATGAGATCAGTAAACCATATAATGATTTTGAACAAGAAATAATAATAACTTGACTTTGAGGATCAGTGAAGCTAATAGGAAACTTTTGAGACAATGGCAAACTCTTAGACAACAGTGTAAGCTTGGAATCTAAGGAAATGTTTCTAGAGCCATATTCATTGGAATGTGATAATTTGGTTTCTATACTCAATCACAAATACTAATTTAAGCTTAAGAAAAACAAACCACAAGACACAGTGAGTGGGCAGTCTGGTTTGAACCATTCACTCTCAAAGTGAGCATAGCTCAATATTCAGAGTCCTCGTATCAGGAGAAGGAAAAAAAAAAGCCTAAAGAGGTGTTACCCTCAGTAGAAGAAAAAATGAAATTTTTATTCCTAAGACAAACATTTATTTCACAAGACTTTGGAGAGCAATGAGTATCAGAGAATTTTTTTTCTCTCTTTCTCTCTTTTTATAAGCACTTTGCAAATCCAGACCACACTATTGATTACTGACTATTCATTGCTGAAGGCAGTACTCTGTATTCAATAAATTAAGCTTTAATTCCTGAGTCCAACAAAATAATTGACCTCAAAAAGAAGATAAATGAATAAGCTGTCCAGAGCACATGATTAGAATCCACTTTCCAGTCTCATTATATTAGTATTTTTCAATTCAGTGATTTTCCCATTCTTTTTATCTTCGTTCACAATCTGTTATGCCTTCCACCCTGTTTCTGTATCAGCGAGGCCAAGCTAGTTTCATTCTTGGTTTCAAGATTGGAAGGTTTAACTTATGATCTTTTAATACTTTTATATTAGTAATTTAATATAGTTTTCAGTTCAGGATAAACTAGATAACTAGTATTTTTGAAGAAAGTGTGAAATGCTCTTGATTTCATAAAATCATAAGCAACATCAGCATACAGCATATAATATTTTGATAAATTTATGCTTACAATGTTGCAAATTTTGCCCTATCTGCTTCACAGTCATTTTCTTTACTGAATCCTTAAGGATTCAGAGAGATTTAATAATATTTAACTTGATTTTACATTTAGTAAAAATAAAAATAAAAAACATTTGGTGACGTGGACAAAATTACACAGTATTTATAATCCCACAGTTTTTGCTGCCGCTGTAGCAACAGAATATCTTTTTTTTTTTTTAATTATTTCATAGAAAGGAGGTAAACAAGTGAAAAGTACTTTCATTGCTGCCTTGGTCTGATTTGAAAACAAATATAAAATAGTTTTCATTATTATAGACACAATTTAATTATCAAGACAATGGTTTGATTGTATATTACCTGGAACTGAAGTGACTAAGCCAAGCACTTCTTCAGCCAACTTCTAAGAACGCACAAGTAGCTTTCATGGAAGCAATCGAGAGGTGTCCATCACTACTTCCTTTCCATATCTTAGGAAAGAATCCCCAGAGCCTCAGAAAGGAGAAGAGTCCTTTTCAGAACTTCCTATTTGGAGTTTTTGAAGAATGCAGGACTTGATTTGTCCCTGCATTTCTGAGAAGGGACATAGATTCAGGGAATAAAAGGGGACTATGAAGAGGTAAAGCAGAATCATTTTGCTCTTGGGAACTTAGATTGATAACCTCAGCAGTATTATCTTTCCTTAGCTTTTTTCCCCACCCCAATTTACAATCTCTGAATGAGATAAAACTTGAGCTTGCTCTACTCAAGCAAAGTTTTGCACAACGTCAAGTGACCTACACACACAAAGTGTGTCTTGAGGGAGCCTAGCACAAGGGCCAATGAGGCTAATGGTACCAAATGGCTTTCATTTCTGTCTTATTTTTTTGCATCCTATAAGTGATCCCAGTAACACTCAAGCACTGTCGCAAAGTGGAAGATTTCAATTATTGGTGTGCACTTTTTCATTTAGAGCCTCATAACTGGAAAGTCAAATTGTCAGTATTTTATTCAAGTTATATAACATGATGGTTTATATTAATAATGAGAATCCAAGACACTTTATGACTTTCTGACTCATTATGGCCACCTGAATTATGTTCATTATAGCTTTATTATGAAGCAAATTTAATTGCATTATGAATATCTGAACACTGCTAATTGCTATATATAGAAACTAGAAAAAGTCTAAAATATTACATTAATTTGAACATCTCGTTTATGGACTCTTCCAAATAAAAGCAACTTAATGGAATTTAGTGTTAGGACAAATTTGTAAATAAACTGAAGTAAATGTGTTTATCATTATGTAAACGACAATACTCTGCATATTATATTTGCAACATATTTTGATTTGAGTTTGTATCAAACCATAGGATTATTTAAAATTTAGCAAGAAATGATAAAAGAATTGAGCTATTGTGGAGGAGGATTATATGATAGACTCCTAATGTTAATGGGAATCATGGGGTATTCTGTTTTGAGTTGTATGAAATTATAGATGTAAGTCAAATTCCATTTAAAATGTGTTTTTTATCTGTTCATTAATACCTTAATCACAGGATATGTTTTTCTGTGAAAATGTCAATTAAAAGCAGTTGTGTTTAAGGTAAATAGATGTCTTAGGCTTTCTAGATTTCATTAATTTATTACTTCTTTCTTGTTTTATCTGCAGAATTTTTCCGAGAGCTCCTGGAGAATGCAGAAAAGTCACTAAATGATATGTTTGTACGGACCTATGGCATGTTGTACATGCAGAACTCAGAGGTCTTCCAGGACCTCTTCACAGAGCTGAAAAGGTACTACACTGGGGGTAATGTGAATCTGGAGGAAATGCTCAATGACTTTTGGGCTCGGCTCCTGGAACGAATGTTTCAGCTGATAAACCCTCAGTATCACTTCAGTGAAGACTACCTGGAATGTGTGAGCAAATACACAGACCAGCTCAAGCCATTTGGAGACGTGCCCCGGAAACTGAAGATTCAGATTACCCGCTCCTTCATTGCTGCCCGGACCTTCGTGCAGGGGCTGACTGTGGGCAGAGAAGTGGCAAACCGAGTTTCCAAGGTAATTGAAAATGTGCTGGCTTTCTAATTGGTTTTCCTCATTTACTCTGTTTTTAAAACCAATGTTTATAAAAAAAATCAAGGTAAAAATTCTTCATTGGTGATCCTTGCTCTTAGATAAATCTGCTAAATATCAAAGCATACTTCTGGCTTTCTTTTCCTTGCTTTGTGTGAGAGAAGACAAGATTTCAAGCCATTCTATGTGGTTTGAAAATTAACGTCAATATTTATCAGCAGTATAGCAGAAAAGCTTTTAGTAGCAGGGGCCCTGCAACTATGACCATTTAGTATTTCTGATCAGGGTTTTAAGGATGATAAATACTCATGAGACAGCCCATTCAGAGGTTATAATCCTCTAGGGAGTCAGGATGACACTCTTCATGGACCTGCGAGTGAAGACAAGTTATTGTTCAGGGCATCAGCACCTGGCATTTCTTCTTTTCCATCACATGTCAATGTGGCCAAATTTCTTCCTGGTAAAAGAAGAGCCCTTTGCTGACACCTGCATTACTGGATTAGGGAGGACTAATGAATACAAAGTATAGATTCTCATAGAGAATTCCTTTTGTTACTCTTTATTCTTGTGATTTCATACCATGCATTGCCTGGGGCTTATAAATAAGATAAATCACGAGTCTGCTTTTGGACGTTTCCTTGAGGATAACATCTCTAGACCTTGGATATAAGGGATAATTCTACATTGCACTATTTAAACATTGAATATTCCTATGTAGAGGATGTCTGCTTTTGTTTAAGCTCTTCTTTGATATTTATGGCACTTGTGAGATCAGTCCTACGAATAAAATGAAAGATAATTACTTAAAGTTAAAAATAATACATAACAGGAATCTAGTATTACGTCACCCAAAAAAAGTACATTTGTACAAAGATTATTCCCAAACCCTACTTTTCTATTGCAGGGCTGTGCCAAAGAGCCCCAGTATTTGTCATAGCTATTGGTCCTGTCCTGCAATGCTTCCTTTTTTTGCCACTTTGATCTCCTCAGTATTTACATTCTAGCATAAAGATTGTGTGTACTCTTAAAAATGTTTCTCTATTGCACTGTCTGCAAAATCCATAACAGCCCATTTAAAAATATTAATTTCCTAAACTTTTATTTGAGCATATGGAAAGATTATTCGTAGGAAGGAACTGAAGGAAATAATTATGAGGGGTTATTTAACAATATAAAGGGCATATAATTCTAATGTTTAAAATAATATTTTACATTGAATCTCAACAATGTTTTAGATGCCAAAGAAACTAGAGGCCCAAAAATGAATTTATAAGGAATTAGCCAGGTAGAATAGCAAGAGGAAATATGATCACCTGAAGACTGTCAGTAAAATAGGAATAAGTATGAAAAATAAATATGTGTTCATATTTTCTTAAGCAGATACATTTTGTTGTAAAATAAGTGTTAATTAATAAGTTAAACTAAATAATAGGTAAGTCACAGAGGTTGTAGGCTGAAGCTTTTGATTTTGTAGAAGGATAAAACATGTAGCCAGCCCTTGAGAAATATGGAGAAAGAAATTCAAAGTATGAATGAATATATTCCTGATTATGTATATTTATTCTACTTGAGTGTTAATAATGTTTATATGTGTGCATTATAATCTGGCAAGTTTCCAGTGAGATAAAAGAACATTTTCTAGCAAACTGTCTACAAAGCCATGAGGGAGGCTGCTGCTTGCTCTCCCTCCTGTTTTCCAGTCGTTGGCATTCACAACTGCCCAGAGATGGAGTCTCCCCTTGGTCACTCCCTGATGGTCTCAACTGAGCTCTTTGTTGACCAAAGTTTAACATGCTCTTCCTTCTGATGAAGGATGACCTTATGAGCCAACTATCAGTAGTGTATCATCTTTTGCTCTAGAAATGGTGAGAGTTATATTCTGCAACACTGTATTTTCTCTTCCACTGATCCCTTCAAAACCAACATTCATTTGTAGAACACTTGTGCTGTGGGTGTGGAATATAGTTTGTAGGTCATTTAACCATGGAAAGTTAACTGTTCCTTGCAGATATTGGCTTGTCTGACCTGAGCTTCATCATCATCCCTAATCAGCTAAAATCATAAGCCCCATCCTCACATCTGGGCACTGCCTTTTGGAGATGGGTAGAGAGTTAGGAAGAGAGAGAGAGAGACATAATAGATTGATCATTAGATAGATAGGTAGATAGATATGGTATATGGATATATAGCTTTGGTTTGAAAGAAGCTGAGTAATATTTTTGCAAATAATTTATGTCTCAAGAATTTAAGGATTTTACCAATGAACTTCTTCACCTAAGGATTACAAGATGGTCTGTAACCGACTAAACTAGCAATTTGTGGTCTACGGGTGCTATGATGATTTTCAGCATCGAAAGTATTTTTGTAATAAGAATAAAATATCACAAAGACTAAATATGTTAAGAAGAGAAGCCGGAATTGTGTTTGAGGTTTAAGCCCTTCATAAATCTGAAGACTCTTTATGGTCTATTAATTGAGTGATTTAGAGTTGGAGAAATTATGACAGAAGAGTTAGAAAACTCAAAGCAAAATTCCCATGTGGAGATCAACAGACTAGTTTATCTCCTGCATCCTGATTTGGGTGATTTTTTTCCCCCTTTCAGTTTCTCTCCACGCTTACAGTGACTTCATAATCATGAAAGACATCATTAATAGCTTCTAATTAATTGTTTTGACTGAAAAACTTACCTCTTTGGCAGAACACAGCAGTTTGACACAAATGTTTTGACATAATGTTCAGAACATTATAGGGAATTTTCTTGCCAGAAAAATGGAGGTCTAAATTGTAAGCATCAACAGACTTATTTTTAAAACTTCTGCTTGCCATCTTATAGATATAAACACTGTTTTTTTTTCTAGCCTTCAGATGGGACAAGTTTATTTTAAGGAACTATAATTCAAGGTCTGACTCTTAGAAGCACTATGTGATTCTGTAGTGAATATCTGTGGTCAGTCAGCCAGGATTCATTTTCTGTGTGAATGACCATTTAGAGCACATCAAGTATTGATGGAAGGTGGAGTATCAGGAACCTCCATGCTTTGCTGGGGGAAGTGTAAATTGATATGCTCACTTCAGATAAAAATCTAAAAATACCTGTATTGTTGAATATGAACCTATTCTAAAACTCCAATTTTCATCTGGATAAACTGTTGCACATGCATACAATTAGGCATGTAGAAGAGTGTTTGTAGCAGCATCTTTTAAAATGACATAGAAAGTAGAAACATCACCAATGGCCCATCTGCCTAAATGATGATCTCTTCACATCATGAAACTTTCCAGTGCCTAGAAAGTGCTCATTAACAAGTCACAGAAACCTCATTGTGAGAGTTAAACGTCAAATCACCCAAAATACATACATTTGCATGAAGGTCAAAAAGGTAAAACTAAGCAATACATTATTTAGGAATAAAAATATGTGTAGTAAAACTGAAGAAATTTCAAAGAATGATTAAAAAATCAAATGCTGGTTACCTCTGGAGATGCAGTTGGGAGGTGCGATGAAGGAGGGATACACAGATATTTCTAAAGTTATCAGTAACATACTGTTTCTTAAGCCAGGTGCTTTAGGGGTGTGTGTGTGTGTGTGTGTGTGTGTGTGCGTGCACGCACACGTGTGCACACACGTGTGCACATGCACATGCAAGGACGTGTGTGTGCATGCATGCATACATAAATGTATTGTGTAAGCCTTTGTTGAATGAAATAAATTAGGATGTAGAAAGACTTTACCATCGTTCATCTCTGATTCTTTTTACCTGTGTAACTACAATTGAGTTTCTGAGCTACTGTTGGTTGTTTGTGGTACTTGCTGCTGCTTATGGACCTGCTAACAAGTCAGTTTCCACATTTCATATTGTGCTAAGTGATGTCAGAAAGGCATGGAAGGCAGAGTTCTAAAATGAAGAAGGAAATAAATTTTGATAATGTGGTTGCCTTAACAAAATGCATCTAGATTATTTTTTAGCACTATCCCTTCATTAAAATACCACCCTCATCCCCTTATCTTCCACCACTAGTGAGTAGAAACATGGATACCAGCAGTCACTCTGAAGGCTTGTCAGACATTGTGAGGAAGAGAGAGGGCTTCATAAAGAGATATTAACAGATTGTCTGCTTAAACTACTCTTCAGTTATTTATTATAAAGGTGAATGTGGAAAGGACTATAGTGTCGTCACTAGTCCATCATGATGCCATTTACACTAAGAAGACATGACTTTTATATATTTTTCTTTAATAAAAGTGACTTCTGGCATGGTATCGTGTCTCATGCTTGTAATTCTAGCATTTTGGGAGGCTGAGGCAGGTAGATAGCTTGAGCTCACGATTTCAAGACACAGCCTGAGCAATGTGGTGAAATCCCATCTCTACAAAAAAATACAAAAATTAGCCAGGCATGGTGGCATGCACCTGTAGCTCCAGCTATTCTAGAGGCTGCAGTAGGAGAATGACTTGAGCCTGGGAAGTGGAGGTTGTAGTGAGCTGAGATCATGCCACTGTACTTCAGCCTAGACAACAGAATCAGACTCTGTCTCAAAAAAAAAAAAAAAAAGTGACTTCTGACCATCTGACCAGGTGTTGTGGCTCATGCCTGTAATACCAACATTTTGGGAGGCCAAGGCAGGTGGATCACCTGAGATCAGGAGTTTGAGACCAGCCTGACCAACGTAGAGAAACTCCATCTCTACTAAAAATACAGAATTAGCTGGGCATGGTGATGCATGCCTGTAATCCAAGCTATTCAGGAGGCTGAGGCAAGAGAATCGCTTTAACCTGGAAGGCAGAGGTTGTGGTGAGCCAGGATCAGGCCATTGCACTCCAGCCTGGGCAACAAGAGTGAAACTCCATCTCAAAAAAAAAAAAAAAAAAAAAAAAAAAAAGAAAAGAAAAAAAGTGACTTCTATGAGCAAAAGCTGTAAATTGTGTCAAGAGCAATCATTTCAACTTTGCAAGTCATCTCATTGATTTTTTTACAGACAAATG